TCCAATATCACGCCGTTCTCCACGGCAGCGTCTTACCCTTCTACGACCATCGTGCCATCCCAATGTAACCGTTTACTGCTCCAGTTCGAACGTTGACGACAGTGGTCCGCAGTCAGAGGAGCACTAACCGTGGACAGTATAAAAAAACTCACAGGTCAAATGCGGCGATAGAGTGTATGCATAGTAACAGGTCTACCTTCTTCTAAAAACCATTGGTCAGCGTGGTGGCAGAACTTGACGCTCTGTGGTACGCCTGGGTGGACCAGTTGGCCTTCCTCGTGTTCCTCTACCTTCTTCTACCCACACACGACACACACGCATTACCGTCATTGAAGTACAATTAACACGGCAGTCAATTTTGCGATAGGACAAAAAACATCTCGTTAGGCAATAATTCTACCCCTGTCAAGTCGCTAACATGGTGATAATTTTGACGTCTTCGAACTCGAGGAATTTTGTTATGCTCAATACTAGTACATGAAAGGGCAATAACTACAAATATTTGTACTACTCAGCACTGCTTTCTTCACAATAACTAAGAGATAACATTTTAACAAAGGTAAACAAAAACAAAGATAAAACGTTGACATTGTTGCCACGGCATGCTTTAAATATAATCATTATGTTGCAAAAAAACAAGTTGAAGATTTTTTTTGGGTGTAACACTTCTAATGTCACTGAGTATATTATGAAGGTTTTCATGAAAATACCATTATACATTTACTTAAAATTTGAGGCACTTCAAACCTTCCGACCGTCCTTGGTAGCACTAGTAAGTGAAATATGGAAACTGGCAGTTTTAAGATTACAGGCAGCTCCTGAAGAATTTTTTCTACCAAAAATCATCAGAAACTTGAAGACCAGAGGTTGACACGGTCTAAAACTACTATTTTTCGCTAGTACTCAGGCGCCACTGGATCCCTTACCAAAATCCATAAACCGTTTTCGTCATTGTGTACAACATCTGTGTAGTTATTCACATTCTCAAGAACGATTCACATATTCATCAAGACGAAAAACAAGTATGAGATTATTTACATTATTATGGATTGTCATATAGATATAAACGACATATACGAGTATTTGTTCAGCAGATTACCTGGCAGACAATAAACCGACGGAAGTCAGTGACATGGTTTTACATCCCCACGATCTGTTGACTATCAAATGAAACCACAGACGTGAGAGTTTACTAGCATTTTGGCCAGCTCGGTGGCCTTTTTTAAAGTACAAAATGACAACTAATAATATGCTTTCGTTTGTCCGGCCGCAGACAGCCATGTTATGTAACATAGACATACACCTCTTGATTTCAAATTTTTTCGCACTATCATCAATTTGGCGTGGGAACAAATTTTTCAGTCAAAATAACGATTAGTTTTGCAATTATTTCCACAAAGTTGACAATTGGTGCATACCGTAAAAACACCATTATGAATAATATATCGAAAGTCCCCTTTGGAGCGGAACCTTGTTTTATTCGAGATTAAATGTCAAAAATATAATGTTTTTTTTCATATTTTTCAAATAGCCCGATCATTTCTAAGAAGATGTCAGGCTTGTATTGCTGCTGAAGGAGGGCAGATAGCACATTTATTTTGAATTTAATAAGGGTGTAGATAGTAGATTTTTATATGTTTCTAACTACCTATGACTCTATGGCCTATCCCCGTATCCGGCTTGAAATTGACTTCTCGAACACGCTGAATCATGTCTATGTCAACGACCGTTCAATATGAAGTATGTGGCAGCATTGACGTATGGGTCGTGTACTTATACAGAGTGTGTAAAAAAAAGTGCTTGTGAGTTTTCTATAAATCATTCCATGAGGATTCGAATTATTGTATTGAGCCATCTGCACCAGGTGTTGCTGACTTCGCCCGCCAGATGTAACATAAGTATATAATCTTTTATATTCATTCATCGATTTCCGACAATTGGAATCATTATGTGTGATCGTTTTTCAGTATTTTGAATTCGAACAATCTGTGAGTGCCTTAGATTGAACTGCTTCAAAACAAGCATATATTTTTTAAGCTGGAATATTCTGCATTCAGCTTTTTATATTAATTGCTACTTGTTAATAGTATAACTCTATAGGTCAGTTCAGTCCTGACGTTGAACGCGATCGCGCGCGGAAAACAACACGGCGAATTACCAATAGAGAGTGGTGTTATACATATAAATACATAGGAAAAATTCCTTCCTTTTTTCCTCAACCATTTGTACAACTGAAGATAATAACTATTATACAGTTTAGTGTGTAATGCCCACGGATAATGATCCCCCTGATGGGGGATCAACTGATATGGACATCTCCTCCATAGGAGGAGGCAGCAACAATGGAGTAGACAGCCGTCAAGGACTTATCCTGAATACAAGCATCTCAACCGACACTACGCCAGATAAGTGCACTGTTTTTAATTTGCAAAACCTAAGCAATATTCAGATTTTATTTATGTATTTGTTGAGAAAATAAATACTGAAAATATTGGTACGCTACACCCAATGGCCATAGGCCATATATTTCATAAAAACTCAACATTCCAAACATTGTCAACATCGAAAAAGTAGGTAGAAATAGAATCAAGGTTCAGGTAAAAAGTTTGAAGGACGCGAATCGTCTAGTTACTAACCAGTCACTAAAAAATGAAAATTTAAGAGCATTTATCCCCAGTAATTTACTACTTAGGAAAGCAGTGATAAAAAATGTTGATACTAGTTTTGACGAAAAATATTTATTTAAAAACTTTTTGTCTCCTGTAACTATCATTGGTTGAGTAGAGCCGTTTATATACAGAGTGGTCCCAATGTTACAATGTTTGAGATATGGGCATGTTGCACAACAATGCAGGAGTTCATCGGTCCTATGCATTAATTGCGGCAAAATAAAGGATTCGGAGCACAATTGTAGGGATCCCCAGGATAGCTGTTTGTGTTTTATTGCAAGAACAACGATCACAAGTCAAACATCCAAAAAATTGTCCATCTTATATGGAACAGGAAAAAATTAAGAAAATCATGGCCGAACAAAATCTGACGTTCCTGGAGGCTAAAAAAAACTCGGTAATACATATTCCTCCATATTAAATTCAAAAAATCGTTTTGAAGTTTTAGGCCAAATGCCCAATACAGAATTTCCTCCTCTCCTTCCAAAAGAACCCTCACACAGCCGATCAGCAAACCCCTCACGGTCGCAATCAACAAATTCTTTTCATACAGTCACGCAGCGAATAGCTAGACCCCTATCTCAGCAAGAAAAGCCAAACAAAAAACGAAAAGTTGTATCCCCTATTAATGATTCCCACATTCCGCCCATGTTCCCTTTTTCATTTGGCCCCAGTAACCCCCTACCCCTTAGAGAAACAGACACAACAGAAATCCCTGATGATAGGTTTCTGGAGGCCCTATTCAAAACATTACAACTTATACTAAGTAAAGTAAATCATTTGAGGAATTGGCTAATATTGATATTACTTATGTGAAGAATATCTATAAAGATAGCTATCCTCCAAATGAAGAGCCCAGTGACCAAGATGAATACTAAATTGAAAATCATACAGTGGAATGCTAGATCTGCAGTAGCAAACAAACACAGCCTTGATCAATTTTGTTCAATAACAACATAGATATGCTCTGATTTCTGAAACCTGGTTTTAAACCAGATTTTAATGTGATACTCTAATATCAGGAGTGACAGACATGACAGAAAGACCGGAGTTGCGATATTTGTCCGAAACACTCTGAAATTTAAAGAAATAACATGTAGACCTCGCCCAATTACGTGCAAGTATGCGGTGCAGAGGTGCAATTGCAGATTCGCTTCGGCCTGTCTCTTCTAATCTATGTATGTCCCTCGTAGTGCACATATCCGCACGAATGAATAGATTGATTTGCTATCTCCTTCGGTCAGGATGCAATTGTAGGGGACGATTTCAATGCCCACCATGTTGTGGGGCTCCTACAAGCAGGACCATAATGGGTGCTCTCTTGTGGAAGCACTAAACTCTATAGACTTGGTATTGATGAATGATGGGTCATCTACTAAATTGCATAATAATGGTCCTAAATTTCAGTGTAGATTTAACTTTTTCTTCCCGGACCTAGCTAACATTATTGAATGGAAAACCCATGTTGATACCCCTAGGATCAGATCATACCCTATCCTCCAATTGGGATCATTTCCATTCACTTGCAGACAATTATTCTCAAACTCTCATCCGAATTTCCAGGATATAAATGACAAATATCAGTTTTTTATTCAAGGGCATTAATGAGTCCGCCCGTAGCTCAATCCCTCGATATAAACCCTTCACAAGACAAAATAAGCCACCTGCTCCTTGGTGGGATCGAGAATGCGATGAAGAAATTAATAAACGAAAAAAATGCCCTTGCACAGTACAAGCAGATATCCAGCGAAGCCAACTTCATTGCTTGTAAGAGAGCAATAGCACACACAAAAAGGCTACTAAAAAGGAAAGCAAAAAACGCATTGGAAAAAATTCTGTTGCAACTTAAATAAAAACACCCCAAGCACCGAGCTTTGGTCTCAGGCTAAGAAAATGCAGAGAATGCAAGTCACTCATAGGAAATGCAATAACTTGGATTGGGAAGCAAATTTCCTAGACAAAATCGCTCCTCCTTCGACCACATCATTCTTTCCAGAGATTCACCGTAGTCAAAATCCTGAAACCCTGACAGACAATATCTTCAGTCATCCCATTACTGTCACTGAACTTGAATATGCGCTAAAGAACTCAAACAATTCGTCCCCTGGCTGGGACAACATAACATACTCAATGTTATGGCACCTACCTTTGAATGCAAAGCAGCTATTACTAGAACTTTACAATGAGGTATGGTTAGAAAACGGAGACATTGAAGACTGGCGAAAATAATTGTTGCGGCCGTGCTCAAACTGGGCAAAGATCCAAATTTATTGTGAATCATACAGACCCAATATCCTTATTATCGTGCATCCTTAAGACTCTCGAAAGAATCATAAAGTACAGACTAGAATGGTTTCTCTACGCAAGAAATTTATTCCCGAAGTCACAATTTGGTTTCAGAAAAGGATATGGTACCTTAGATGCTGTAGGGAATGTAGTTTAACAGAGATCCAAAACTGCTTCTCAAGGAATGAATACCTGGGAGCTGCATTGTTAGACGTCAAAGGAGCATATGACTGCGTCGACCTGTTCATGCTAAAAGACAAGTTAGAAGATATTCTGGTTCCAAGTAATACTTGTCGGACTATCATAAAGCTCTTTCTAAACAGAACAATATTTCTCAGATCCAAAACCAACTCACTTCTGGGCCCTAGAGAATTAGGCCTTCCTCAGGGATCAGTTTTATCACCAGTCCTGTTTAACATATATATACTAGAGATATCCACGTAGTTAACCCAACATACAATCTCGTACAGTATGCTGATGACCTTGTCGTTTTTACCTAGATAAAAAAGGATTCAATCATGCAAAGAATCTCTATTAAGCGCTATAACTTCGATAACAAGTCAAATGAAACACATTGGATTCAGCCTATCACCACACAATCATCCATAGTATTCTTCTCACGGCACAACATTCCTCCAACAGGTGATATAGAAATCAGGGGCTCTCGATTTCCAGTAAGAGAAACAGTGGAGTATCTTGGAGTTGTTCTTGACCATAACTAACATGGTACTCTTTCATTGACAAAATAGTTACGAAGTGTCAAAAAGGTATTAATTTCCTGAAGATGATTCGACGTACGTGGTGGGGAGCAGATCCTGATACAGCGTTAACATTCTATCGCTCATACATCAGATCGATCATCGATTATGGATGCACTTGTATGGTTCTGCTAGTCATAAAGCCTCACAAAAATTGGATACACTACAAAACAGTGCATTGAGACTTTGTTTGGGCGCAATGAGGTCAACTCCAATTGAACCCCTCAGAGTAGAATGCCCTTGAACCACCTCTTCAGCTAAGGAGACAATTATTGTCAAAAAAACAACTTATCAAGTCAGAAGTAAAGCAAGACCATATAATAAAAAAAATAAGCACGTTGAAACTCTCATGACCTCACCAATAAATATTGGCAGAAAAAACAATCAGCCCCCTTTGTGAAGCATTTAGGAATTCCAGAATAGAGATAGATAATTTATCTAAATACCAATCATCCCGGAATTCTCAAGAATTTTTCATTTCTCTCGAGAAACACAACTTAATTTTACCAAACTACATCCCCTCTACAGAAGAAAACTGTCTTAGAGAACTGTTGAAATCCTTATCCAGAATACGTTAAAATCTATACTGACGCTTCTAAGGACAGCAAAAGAACAGGTTGTGCCTTTATTGCACAACCCAGTGGATATTCATCAAAACTCAAATTGAACAGTCTGACATCTATATTCACAGCTGAAGCCATTGCTATTCTCAAAGCCTTGGAATACTTAGATTCCAAGGTAATTATCAAAGGGATTATAATATCAGACAGTCTGTCAGTCTTGAAAAGTATAGCTAAACCAGTCGACATAAATAACCCTTATATTACCCATACATCTTGAAAATAAAGCAGTTACTTCATAAACTAAATGCCAAAAACTACAAAATAAAGTTGTATGGGTAAAAGCCCATGTCGGAATTAAGCTCAATGAGATGGTTGATAGACTGGCTAGGGAAAGCATTACTTCTGGAGAAATCTTGGACCACCTTCTTCCCATAGATGAATATATTCATTTGCAAAAAAAAACAAACGCGAACTGATTGGGAAACAATATGGGAGACATATAAAAACTCAAGAATAAATGGATATGTATTAATACAACCCGAAATCCCTAGATACACCTGGTTTAGTAATTACAAATACAACAGAAAAACCTTAACGACACTGATAAGGATCAGATTTGGACACGCATGTTACCAGAGCATCTAAATCGGATTGGCGTACTGGACACTGACCTACGCACAAGATGTAATGAAATTGGAAATCTCGACCACCTATTCTTCGATTGTCAGAACAATAGGAATCAATCTCTGTGACTTATAAACAGAGTAATAGACTTAATGTACTGACTCCTTTTAACCTCATACATTTATTATGCTTAAATAGAAAGGAGATCTACTACAGCCTGGCTGAATTTATCCATTCAATCAATGTAAACCTATAATCACCTCACATACCCTTGTTGCCTCCCAATTTGTTATATCCCTCCTCTTACCGTGGTCTACCTGTGCACGTGTAAGAAGTCGCCCTGACGACCCTGAGGCGTGAAGAAGTGTCCTCTGTGAAGATCCCTAGCATCATCCCACTATAACAGTAGACTTCCAGTTTGGAAAAATATGAATCCAAAAACCCTAGTTCTAATGCCAAAAAAAAAACTCTATAGGTATTTGTACTCCTAGAATCAACACAGTAAGTGGCAGAAAGCACATTATCTAGTTTATCTAAGCACTCATAGATGCTTTAATATATAGCATGGGCGTAGCTATATCTTCCATATGGGAGGTTTCAACTATCCACAAAAAAAATAAATATTGAACTGAAATACATTAAAACGTTACCAAATTTGAAAATTGTTTGTTTAGAAAGACGTGCCAGTATTTCTAGGGTAGAAAGAACATAAAAACAAAAGTCACATAAATATGAGTTCAAAGATGTTCCCCTACCTATCCAATTAATGTTATAATGAGGTGCCATAGCTTTCTTCACTTGTCATATAGTGTTTCCATTATCAAGCTTCTCGGGGCTTTCAGAATAGGGGAGCCTAAAAATTTTCATAAGAATATTTTAGGATTTCACCTCCAAGACGAGTGATCTGACAAACATTCCTTGACAGTGAAAAATAATGAAAATTGAATGATATTTTATTAAATGCACTTCGTTCATCCGAGAATGCAAGTGGCGTAGAACATTTTATTATTAGCTGTTCAGGTCCCCCAGTTTTTAAGTTCCTGGTTTAGTTTGGGATGGTAAACTATATGTGCGTATTGCTTATGAACGTCTAAAATCTTGACTCAGTATCCCCGCCAGCTCCGTAGATATAATGTTCTTTACACTTCCTAAATAAAACTTCATCACTCTGTATCTCGGAAGGATGGCATCTTTGAACCCATATTTATACAAACTTTTTTGGTTATTTTTGGATGTACGTTCCAACCTCCAACGTCTTTCTGAAGTACCCTGTACAAATTTTGGTTCGAATTGAGACACATACGCATATCCTCTATTTTTTCCATTTGACTCCAATAACTCAAAAATCAATAATATTGCGATCGGGAAACGATGCCCACTTTCGGTCAACTTTGAATTTGAAAGTTAACAGGAAAACCATGTATGGATTTCAAAACCTAATTCTTATTTGACAAATAAAACACTGCTTTATTTGTGTCTTTTATTCCTTAGATATTTATCATTAAAAGAACATTGATTACTAAATTTTCTTTTCGAATTTTTCTATTTACAGTCAGGATATACTGTCTGTGTTTTTGTACGCAATGTAATAAAAATTGCTTTTACTCCTCATCAACAGTGATTAAGCCATGGGAAGTCTTGCATTAACTTAACTTCTGTTTTTTGCCGTATCGTTAACTGCTCTCAGTGTTTGCACCTTATTCTTAGCGTGTTTGCAAGAAGCATTATGTGGTCATGAAGTTGGACACACTTCGAGAAAAGTCAACTGAACAACGACTTGCTCTTTATTGAAACAAAGTCATCCATATTTTTCTCTGAAATGAAAAAACGAAGAATAGCTACCATGGACAGATGCTTTGTGCCTTTTGGTAACTCATCAGCATCGTCTAGGCCTGACATCAGGTCAGGAATACGAACGAAAGCATAGCAACTAACCTGTATCTGGGGTATAAAATATATCGATACAAGACATTATAAGATGCCATCTATTGCCAGAATCGCAGTTCATAGTGGCTTATTTTAAAAGATAGCATATTATATCGAAGCAGTGAAAGAAGACGAAGAAAAATTTATTTGTCAGCTTTACCATAAAGTAAGCCAGAAAGTTATTCTTTTGATGGGATGTAGCGTTTACCGTGGGCTGATGTACTTTATTTGGCTAAATTAGCAACAATTTTTACTTTATTTACCTCATCTGTCAAATGCCATAAATCTTGGCAGAACTTTTGTTAACTTGCTTGTAAAATGGTTTTGCCTTTAAAAAAGCATCACTCCTGGTTAGGTGCTTTTACTGCTAGAGTGCATTGGAACCACGGTTTCACGTATGTTGTCACGATGAACAGGCAGATATCTAACAGAGCCTTACCTTATTAGAAATTGAAGCTGGGAACTTAGTAACGTTATTTTTAATGAATAGATTGCTCTGTCCATCTGTCGAACTTTTTCATGGAGTCTGGCGGTTAAATCTTAAATTATGTTTCTGTATTTCCGCCAAGGAATATTATTGAATGTTTTATTAATTCTCGATAGACGTATTTCTTTGACAATTTGTTTGGTCAGTTCATGTCGATAAAATTCTAGCAGCTTGTCAGTCTCTGAAATATTCAGGCATGTTAGCTTTTCAATATAAATCTGTAGTTCTTGGGATCCACAGCTCTCGCGAAACTTTTTAAGCATTGGAATGTCAGGACTTGTAGTCACTTGGGTCGATTGTTAATTCATACACCCCTTTTAATACCAATTCGTAGACGTGGTGGTGGCAAAGCAAAAACAAGCATTTCTTTAATAGTTTCTGTTCGAGAAGCATGCGGGCACCATTAGTGCGCCCGTATTTGAAGCAGTAGTAGATATCACAACAGAGAATCGAAACTTTATTTCCAAGATTCCAATCAGTAATAGCATAAAAAAACTGCCTGATCCTGCTCGCTGCCTGGAGAGTTATCCAATTTGGGCCACAGCGATAAAATGCTCTTTATTTTCATACGTTATAACAATCGTTGGACCTTGTTTAGACTTGCGTGCACTTAAAGGTTCCAGTGGACAGTTACAGTATCAGAAATCAAGCTTTATAGCTTTTACGCGCTCCTTTCACTTAATTTTACTTCCCGGATATTATAGAACAAAACTGCTAGTACTTGTCCATTGGAGGTTTTGAACCGGTAATTGCTTTACGGCCCGGCCCCTTTTAAAAATATTCCCTTTTTAGAACTGCGTAATTCCTTCGACATGCTGACTGAACGAAAAGAGTGCGGTTACTAATAGAACAAAGCAGCACTGCAATACGATACGAGGCATGTCTTTTAAGTTTTGCATATGGAAATAAAACAATACGGTAGGTAGTTTTAAATGACTTTATTGTTTTTCGAAGTATTCTCCACGAAGATTAATACACATCTGCATGCGCTCCAAGCAATTTTCGAAGCACTTATTCCACTCGTTTGCTGGCAGATCCAAAACGGCATTTTTGATGCGTCAACTGCTTCTTCTGGTGACTGGACGCAGTCTGTTTTTAATTTTCGGGAAAGTAAAGAAATCTTTAGGACTTAGGTCCGTATCGTCAGTCGTGCCTACAATTATTGTAGGGCGCCTTTATGGCCTGCTTGATTGTCATAGTTTTCTACTTCTCCGTGTCAGCGCTCTATTTTGAGGTTATGTCACAAACATCTATTTGCATCAAATTGTGCTTGCTTCTGAGTTATATCATGTTTTATCAGCCTGAAATTTCCTACAATTTAAAAGGAAAACATATCTTCACAATAGGAGAGCGCTGACGCAGACACGGGACAAGTGTAATCTAGAAATTTTTGAAGGAGAGAAAGGAGTATGACAATCAAGGAGGCCATAAACGCTCCCTACAATTGTAGGGCGCCTTTATGGCCTCCTTGATTGTCATAGTTTTCTACTTCTCCGTGTCAGCGCTCTATTTTGAGGTTATGTCACAAACATCTATTTGCATCAAATTGTGCTTGCTTTTGAGTTATATCATGTCTTATCAGCCTGAAATTTCCTACATTTTGAAAAGAAAACATATCTTCACAATAGGAGAGCGCTGACGCTGACAGGGGACTTGTGTAATCTAGATATTTTTGAAGGAGAGAAAGCAGTATGACAATCAAGGAGGCCATAAACGCGCCCTACAATTGTAGGGACGACTGACGATACGGGCCTTAGACAGGGACTATATGGAGGATGGTCCAATAATTCCACGTTTTCTTCCGTTAAATACTGCCTTGTTTTTGGGCTGTGTGCGAGCTTGCATTGTCTTGGCGGAGGATGATTCTTCTTTCGGGGTTGATTGTTCTAAGCTCGGTGATGACTTTTGGCAAACAAATGGTGGTATACCAATCCGCAGTAATAGTTCTTTGTTCATTAAGAGGAATTGTTGCAATATGACCTGCTTTTGACACAAATGTCGCGACCATCTTTTTCGAAACACTTCGAGAACGGATGAATTTTGTTGGCTTTTCTTCACCTTGGAACACCCAAACAGCCGACTGTCGTTTATTTTCTGGTTCATAACAGTAAATCCACGATTCATCACCACTAACAATGCTGTACACATTTTTTGAGTTTTCGGAATTGAAACGGTCAAGCGTTTTTTGACAGGAATTAACCCTGGCTGCTTTCTGCTCTTCAGTCAACAGGTGGGGTATCCAACGAGAAACGAATTTTCATACTCCTAATCCTTCATGTAAATTTGTTTGAATTGAGGTCTTTGAAATCTTCAAGGACGCCTCAATCTCGCGACATGTCACATGTCTATCTTCAATGATGAGTTTGCGCACAGTATCGACATTTTCCTGGGTGAGTGCCGTATTTGGTGCACCCACCCTGGGATCGTTGTTAAGACAACACCCGTCCACGTTTGAATTCTCCATACCAACGGGAAATTGTCGACTGATGTGGCACTTCGTTGCCGGAAACAGACATTAACTCAGCAAGGCATTCTTGTTGCGATAATTGTCTCTGAAAGTCGTAATAAATTATGGCGCGAAAACGTTCTCGGTTGAGTTCCATTTTTCTAATGACTTGGTGACACTTAAAAATTCACTGTAGTGAGAACACTGCACGTATTGTTGTGAAACTTGAATTCAAGTTTACTAAAGAGTGAGGTTAAGATTCAGTACTCTCGTTCGATCCGCGCGGCCGACTATGTTTCTATATGCAAAACTTAAAAGACATCTAAAAGACATCCCTCGTAGCTACCGCGCGCCTAATATGCAAGTTTTGACATGTTCCAACGCACTGGTTTTATGTACATAAAACTTTATTCACAATTGTTTTGACATTGATCAAGCAAAATTAGAGGGTATGCGTAGGCAAAAAATAACTAACCCCAGCGTATGTATAGTGATGAAATTGAAGTTAATGCAAAACTGGAAGGTAGAATATTTAGCGAGAAGACTAATTAATAGCTTCGGTTAAATTTGCGATTTGGAGCCCCTAGACCCCCCTTTATACACATCCATGATATCTAGAACATTGTATATGCATTGTAAGGTAGATAAGGAGTGCATATCTTCCAAAAGGAGACCAATTGTTTTATAATAGATGAATGACATACATACATAGATTGCTCAGATAAGTGAGAAAAATTGGAACAACAAGAAAATGTGGGAAAATCACGAAGATCTGTTTCGTATCCAGGTAACAGAGCCCAATGTTTCTGTCAAAGATGTTATTAAGAAAATCGTACGAAGTGGAAACGTTGAAGATGCATTTTACATTTGTGATGTGAGCGATATTGTAAAGAAATATAAGGACTGGAAAAAAGCAATGCCAAGGATTGAAACGTATTACGGTGAGTACGTTGTGTCAGCAGCAAAAAAATATGCATTTGATTTGTCAGTTACTAAATCCGGGTTGATTCATATTTCTTATGCGTAAAACCTAGGTACCAGCCACTGCCTTCTCTAGACCAAAGTTGAAAATTTATTATTTCGATATTTATAGAAAATTCCGAAACGAGATAATTATAGATTTCAAAAACGCAGTATATTGTTTAAAAAACCTATGTTTAGAATACTTTATCCACAGTGCAGAGTCATGAAAATTATATAGGAACTTCAAAAGTAGTTCAATCATTTGGTGCTTGAAAAGGAGAATATCGTGAAAGGTTTTGTGGATGTGAACAATTCGTATCTTTATACATATTGCATTTCCCTCTTTCCAAATTTTTATTTTCGAATCTTTTCCGTTGACTTCAAAATATTGGAAAATGGCAGCCAAAATATTTTATCTTTGCTTAATTTTAGTGCGTACTTTTGACTCATTTGTCTACCAATGCCTGCCAAAGTGGTAGCGTTGTATCAACATCATAATAATAATACTTTATAACATCTACCTTCATTAGGTTTGTGCCGCTCTTTGCCAATTATGTAATAATAATAATAATAATTTTTATTGAAATGTATATACATAAAAAATATAAAAACGACAACAGAATGATTAGTACCTATTCACAACAAATATTATGCACAACACAGTATATAATACGATATAGTCTGAGTGTTAATGGAAGATAGTGTAGCAAGCGCTATAAATTTAATTAGTGGATTCAAATCTTTGTAGTTGTAGTAGCACTTTTTTCCATCTCATTTCTGAAGTTTTGGATGGAAGGTGCTACAAAAAGCTCTAAATGATCGTTCAGAAGATATGGGGCCGTGTAAGTAAAACATTTTTTGAATGTTGACGTTGTATGAACTGGAATATTGAAATAGGCATTGTTGCGCAAGGAAACATGACGGAGTAAACATATCTTCTCCAAAGCAATAAACAGATATCTGGGTAATTTATATTTTAAAACTTTATACAGTAGAGTTCCATACTGAAGTAATACACGATACTTGAATTTTAAGAGATTTTCTCTCACATAATATCCAGTAACATGTTCTTGTATATGTATATCTTTAAAACAGAATCTGATGCAGCAGTTTTGTAATACTTGAATTTTGAGCTTCATTTCTTCCGTAAGAAAATTATAATATACTGTAGCGCCATAGTCTAGATGAATGAGGATTAGTGCATTGGTAAGTCTTAATTTTATATCACTGGTTAAAACATGTTTGTATCTCCAAAGTGACTTATATTTACAATAGCATACTCGAAGTTTATCAATGACATGGTTCTCAAAATTTAAATTTGTGTCCAATAAAATGCCTAAATTCTTAGTCTCCTCTACAATTTCAACAGCCGTATCACCTAAAACAATGTCTGTACTCATCAATTATTTAAATTTTAGCTTTTGTTTTTGAGGGATTCAGTTTCAAACAATAATTTTTGAAATAGTTTGCAATCATTTCTAGATTTACATTTAATTCTCCACCTCCTCTTTCTTCTCTCTCATTTCTAATCAGCTGGTCATTTGGCAGAGTAATTAAATCCGAACGAAAATCATGTGTAAGACAAGTCTCTGTTATTGCTATAATATGAGGGTTCTACTCTAGCATAATGTCTGAAAACATATCAAAGCTTGGAATAAGTGATCTAATATTAACATGTGCTACGTTTAGTGTGCTACCATTTTTCGTGACGCCTTTACTGTGTGCAATGATTGGACTCTTCGATGAATTTTCCGATTTGCCCTTTGATTGCTATATAGAGTAATTTATGTTGCTTCTTGCTGTTTCAAGTTTCTTCCTCATTACTGTGCAATTTACTTTGTCAAAAGCATAACGATCAATCTTAAAATTTAACTTAAATTTACTATTAAATTCTAAGCAATTTGGGCAGGATATATTCGGTTTCGTACATATATCTGCTTTATGTCCTCTCTCACCGTATTTTAAACAGAACATCTCTCCGGTGCATTTACTAGCAGTATGGTTGAAGCCGCTGCAATTGTAGCATCTTAACAAATTAATGTGTTCATATACTGAGCATATTGTTGCATATTACATATTTACATATTTTTTTTTATTTTTTTTATTTATTTAATAACAATGATATACAAAAATTATAAATGCACATAAATATATAACACAACAATATAATTCCTCTTCATCAAGGACATCTTGATGATAGAAAAATGCACCTAGATGGTTCAAACTATGTATGTGCTTTCATCATCCGGACTTACAAATGAAAAGAAAATGCTATTTATTGGATTATAAAATACAATAAAAAAAAAATAATCAACCTCAATATCCAGAACAATAGTTCAATCATACTATGATACAAATCATTAGCAAAACCTTTCAAATTGTGCAGCATTCTCAAAAATATATTCTCTGCAGCTGGTGCTAAATGTTTTAATATTCTTTTTCAAGTGTTCTAGCAGAATGTTATATATCTTTGGTCCTATATACGTCACGTATCTTAAGTTTAGGTTATTGTTATTCTAGGGAATTTCTATTTGTCTGCCCACATTTGCACGAGTACAGTAGTTATCACTTACCTGTTTCTGTAATTTTTCATTTCTGTAAATAAAAGTAGATACTGTCATCACGTACAAGGATCTAATATTACACACATCCTTTGTAAAGGTTTATTAGTCCGGAATCTTTTATCTTTCTTAAAAATAATTTTAATAATATATTTCTGAATAATAATTAGTTTATGTAGAGCATTATTATACAATCCCCCCCATACTAATATCCCATATCTAATTATAGATTTAACAAATGCTTTATAAACTGTTATTAAATTTTATTTATCGAGAAAGTCACTCTACTCGATACATAATCAACATGAGGCTGTCACTTTAAATGTTGGTCAATAATGATTCCAAGATATTTAGTTTGAGACACTTCCTTAACAGAATAATTATCATCCAACATAATAGTGCTGTAATTTGGTCTGTTTTTATTGGTTAACGAAAACGCAATATCGTTTGTCTTATATAAATTCAATGTTAGTTTACTCTCTTGTAACCAGTCTTTAACCATACCTAGACCATACACTGTTTTACACTTTACATCCTCCCATCTAGAACCTGCAAAAAGAAGTACAGTATCGTCAGCATAAGAAATAGTTAAACTAGCTTATTTATATAAATTGTAAAAAGGAGCGGTCCCAAAACAGTACCCTGCGGGACACCAATATTTATTATTTTTTCATTGCTTGTTATGCTATTTAGTTTTGGCAGTTGTGGTCTGTTTGAAAGATAAGCCCTCAGTAAATCACTCCCCTTATACCATTGCTGTGAAGAGTTTCGATTAGCTTATCGTGAGGAACCGTGTCGAAAGCCTTAGCAAGGTCCAAAAAACAGCAATACTCTTGTTGCCATTATTCAGATTATTGACGATCTCAGTTATTAATTTCTGCATAGCATCCACTGCACTATAACCCTCAAGAAATCCGAATTGATTATCTGATAATACATTATTGGCTTTAAAAAAATCTATTAATCGAGTTTTAACATATTTTTCAAATAACCTTGCAAAATTTGTTATTAAACTTATAGGCCTGTAATTCCCAATAGATGTAGTAACCCCTGATTTATGTATCGGGATAACTATTGACGTTTTAAACTCTTTCGGGACAATTCCAGTTACCAAAATTAAATTGTAAATATGTAATAAAGGTGTTAAAATTTCAAAATGAGTTTGCTTTATAGTTTCAACCTGTATGCCATCATAGCCAGGAGCACTATTACTTTTCAAAGATGCGATATGTTTTATTAGTTCATTCCTTGTAATGGGACTTAAGAAAATAGAATTCTGGACGGGGCGCGCTAATTGACACTCAGATTGAGGAGTGGGAATTGTCCGCGCCATGTTAACACCCACATCAATAAAATATTCATTACAAAAATTTACCATTTCAATAGAATCAGTAAACTGGTTGCCATCATTATCATTTATAGAAATATAAGATTGACCTTTGTAACTCTTTTCGTACGTTGCATTCTTTATGACGTCATACAGTTTTTTCATGTTATTTCTATTTTTTCAATTTGCATTCTATAGTAATTATTCTTTTGTTTGTCTATTCATTTATTTAGTTTGTTACAATAATCCTTATACTGATTTGCCAAAGACAAACTATAATTTGCTAGAAGTCTCTTTTTCATTTTATCCCTTTTTTCACAGAAACAATAATTTCATTACTTATCCATGGTTTTATTTGTTTTGGAATTGATACTCTTGTGGCAATTGTTTCTGTTGCTTTCAACAACAAGTCCCTGTACGTAGTCAAAAATAACTTTGCAGCTATTTCTGGATCATTCACACTAGTTACCAAATTCTAATCACAATCATTCAAAATTTATTTATGTTTAGTTTGTTTCTTGTTACAACTTGCCCAACCTCCAAAATTCCAGAAGGTCGAGTATTATTAGTTATACAAAGCACTGTTGGACTGTGATCCGTCATTTCCTCATTGAGTATATAAGAATTTAATAATAAACAATTGGTTTTCAATTTTTGCCTAACAAATATATGGTCCAGGCAAGTTCCCGAAGACAGTCTAGTAGGTTATTGATAAATGCATTAAAGACAAGAGAAGACATCATTGACAGATACTCTGTCACCAGAGTGTCCTTATTATCCAGAATATTTATGTTAATATCCCCCAGAAATATTCCAATATTAGCAGAACTATTATGCTCCAAATAAGTGTGCAAATCATGAGTGAAGTCTTTCTTTGATATTGGAGGTGGTCTGTAAACGCACGTTATACCATACAAAACCCCATCCTTTACAAACGTGAGTCCACCTAAACTAGCCCTTGATATACTTAATTGGCACTTGGAGAAATTCGCCCTCATACCATCCCTAACAAAAATTACCTTCATTATAAAAAGTTTGGTAGCCAGGTAAATTACAGTTCTTAATAGACACAATTTGAAAGGTTTCCGTG